CGGCGCGGGCCCCCCCGCCGGCGGCGGGGGGCCTCCTGCCGCTCCCCCGAGTCCCGGGAAAGGCTGGAAGAGCTGCCGGGCACTGGGCGTGAGGCTCCTGGCCACCCCCATTCACCCTGTGCCAGGCTTGTGGTGGCCTGGCCCTCTGTCGTGCTCTGAAGCCGGGATCAAGCCCACCTGGCCTGGGTGGCTGTGGAAGGGCGATGCAACCAGGGGCGTTTAGGGACCATCCGCTGTAGGAGATGAACCGCAGCTTGAGGATGCTTCACTGAGAAAAGCCAACCAGCAGCCCAGGTGTGTCTGGCGGTGCCTTGGGCACCGTGTGTATCGATGCAGACCTTCCCCCTCCCCTCAGCCGGGTGGGTGCGGCGGTGGCTCCTGCTGGGAACCGCGGGGCTGCCGGGCTTCCCAGCCTCTGCATCGCCACAAGCAAGAAGTTCTCGGTTGCCTAATCAGATGAAAGAGGAAAATCTAGATGCTATTTAAGTTATGAATCAGAAATAGGGAAGCCACAGCATTGTACTACAGAAAAATCATGGCATGTCCCCATCAGTGGTCTTATTCTGGGGTTTAATCCTTTCCATATGATGAGATTTCTGAAACCTTTGATTGTGTCATATTGTAAAAAGAAAAAAAAAAAGCTACAATGACTCTCTCATTATTTTAATACTCTTTAAAGTGGTGCTTCCTGAAAGTTTTGGTTCTCTTTATTGTTCATAGAGCTGCAAATACATCTGGACAGCATTTGCCCATATACAAATTTGCTGGGTCTCAGGGGTCATACTTGGTTTGTTTCAGACAAGTTCCTGTTGGCTCTAACACCAGTGTTAGCAAAATTTATGTACAGCTGGGATATTTCAGTTACACAGCATTTGGTGGACTCTGAAATAGTGGGATTATTGAGGAGGAGAAACATTATTAGTAATAATACTGCTTGGACAACGTTTGTGAAAAGACTAATGATGATGGAGACCCTCAGGCTCTCCCAGTTATGGGCAAGACAACCTCCATTGCTTACATGTTAGCAAAACAGCAGGGCTACCCTGAGATGCACTGAGCACCTGTGAGTCAGTAAACTAAACTCAGCTGCTTGGAATTAGCTGTTGTTGTATATACTAAATGTATTAACTTGTTTTGCATCCTCTGCATGGGCCTGGTGTGATGTCCTGGCAACTGACAGAAGGATGAACAAAACCCAGAATATGAGCAAGGAGCTGCTCAAAAAACTTTGTAACTGAGCTTAGAATTTATGAGATGGCTAGTGAGTGTATCTCTAGGCTGATAGATCTTTCATTAGAACATCCTTTTCAGTCAGCCTGGGTTTATTTTGCCCTAGATTGATTTGTTCTACAAAATCCCCTGAAACACTGAATTAGGAAATACTGCAAGTTC